AACCATCAAAGAAAAATGTTTTATAACACTATAGCATCATATAAACCACCCTCCCTGACATTGGTCATCCATCTTCACTTCTGGAGCAGGTACGAACTGTTGAAAATAAATCATACCCCATCTTATCAGGAATCGAACCTTTAAATATTTTGGGAGCCATATTTCACACCATCCCAGCTGCCACTTGGCATATTCTCCACACTCGTTGACAACATCACATAAATCTGCCAGGTCAGAAAACTAACTAGATAATTAACGCACTAATTACCGGTCATTTCGGCTACAAGTTGACCACCTCAGTGAACAATCACTCACTCCCCTCATTATTTCTATCCTGCATTTTCGGATTTTTCCCAGCCGTTTTTTACATGAATAATTACAAACCTATCTATTCTAATGTTATAATCCTGTTAAAACATTAATATTATCTACAGAGAGCGATCACTTTAATACAGTGCATTCAATTAATTTGAGAAGACCACAAATATGTTTGAAACATGCATAAAATCATGTCGGGATATATATTTATGTACGGTATCTTAGTCACTGAAATAAACTCGAATACAGATTAAAATGAAAACACCCATGTTAATCATGTACGGCTTGTGGTATACCAACTAAGAGGTCGAGAGTTAAAGTCCCGAATTAAACATCATATGCTTGCTAATAATCGACGTATCATCCTTGGGTTTGTGCGAATCAGAACATCGTCTGCTTTGTAGAGAAAACAACAACAACAACAAACAAACGTTACAACGTTTTTATTGAAATAGAGTAGAATCCATGCAAATTGTTGAAATTGCAAAATATGCTTTAAGCAAACCTAACAGAGCAATGCATGCAAATAAAACTAATAAACTGTTTCTATGGTAACAGTATTGTCATTGATGACTTGATGATAGATTTGTACCTACAGTAGCCCACTTTTATCTCTTCAATTATTACAGAAATTGACAGATATACAACAACGATTTACATAGATACAGGGCTTCGTGCTTGTTGCTGTGATCAGGCATGGTCTCGACGATAGATAAATTATAAGGATATATAAGAATTTGCTTTTAAAATTTTCTAAAGACCTGATAAGCTGTATTGAAATAAAATACAGCGAATATACCCCTTTCTAGTGCGGTCATTTGGGCCTTCATTAATTGCTCAGCTACCGTTGAAATAAGACTGAAAAGTTGAAAAGTTGACTACATTGTTAAAATTGATATAGATCTAGCATTTGTATGGGTTTTATATAGGCAAATCGTTACTTATTGTACCCGTACTTAAAGTTAATGAAATGTTTCTCGCTAAGTAAACAGATAAATTAAGCATTAGTCATATCTAAATCATCAGTATTAACATCACACGAAGATTGTCAACGTTTGCAAAAATAGCATTTTTCCGTGTGTCAATATAAATTTTCTATCTCTTAAAATTTTGTATAGCCCTTAAGTCATTAAATGATCTGCCTTACTTCTTTTTAACAACACATACATTGTGTATTCAACTTTTTTTTGGTAAAAAAAGCTTTAACAATGAAATCTGCGGGGTTGAATCATACATACCAAGAACGGCCGTAAAGTAGTCAAAGGGAGGTAACAAGTACTGAAATTTTGCACATTCGGCAAAAAATTTAAACCTGGATATGCCCTCAGGATTTCATTAGAATCGGCTTAATAACTGTTTTCGCATGGCTTGTTTGATTACCCAGTTCAGAAGCCAGTACTTAAGTCAGGCGTTCCTTGTACAATAAGCAGACTGCCGGCTAAATTAACTCGTTTAAACGCCGAAATCGCTGGGAGGTCATTATAAACATTTGATACTGGTCAATGAAAAAGTTTAATACTGGCAACTTGAAACATACAATTGAAACTTTAAAGGTCATCAATACCATTTTATATTTCCACCGACATATTATCTCCTTAGTATTCTTTCTCAGGGTGTCAAACTTTTAACTTCCGTTTGAGTTTTCGTCTAAAACGAAGTAGAAATAATGAATTGATGAAATGCATTTGTTAACAAATTTGTGTAAATTATCTTTCTTGCATCTAAAATAATGCAAAAATGGTAAATCAGTAAATACCTGCCTATTGCGCATTAAAAATGTTTCAATAATTCTAAAGTTAAAGACAGTAATGACATTGAAGCATGTTGCATACAAAATATGAAAACATATAAAATACAGTACATATTTGTACACATATAACATATTATATTTTATAATGACGATTGTACGAAGTTATATTTTTTTAACCAAAATGTGAAAGAAATGATAACAGTGGATAAAGTTTTATTAAAATATAGAAAATATGAGACCTTTAACATAGTTGGCACTTTTTATTCATTTTATGTGAATTTATGTGAATAAATAAACCAATTCCCTAAAATGAAAAATAAGCGCTTGATTTCTTTTTTACCCTAGACTATGAAGCCAAGTGCCACTTTCACGCATAATTTATTTTAATGGACGCGCATTAACTTCCACCACTGCTCATTTTCAAATGCTTAAACCATTTACAGCGTTTCCATGCCTACAATATTGAGGTTAGGACCCTAGAAAATGAGAATTTGATAAGCTTAACGTCGGTCCATGATGGCTTTAACAGATCAACAAATATGTCTAGTCGGGTCAGTAAAGTTTTCATTCCCGGCGAGTATCATAAATTACCGTGGGGGTACTAGTAAACTTTTGTATATACGTCCTATAGTGTATTTTTATTTTCAATACTGGAGAGTCTAACACATCTCAAGTGGTACTTCTCTGCAATGAAATTATGCAAATGTCAATTTGATTCCATCTCTTTTAGATGTGACTTCTTTTCTATGTATAATTTGAGGAACACTTCATTTTTTAAAAATGTTTATCGTATTACCTATTTGAGTTGTTTGATTCACATGTGATATGTTTCAAGGGCTAGCAAGTTCTTTTTTAAGCTGTACCAAATTACAAATGTCTTCTATATCTGATACACTTACTTAATTGAAATGTTTTGACTGGAGTCGTAAATGTAAAATACTTATTTCAGTTGTCACTTACAGTTAACATCTTAGACTGATACCTTTCAACGTGACCTCGTGCAAAACTCTTGAAATTTGAATAATCAAAGTCTTAATGAATCTCCATGACGCACTACACCCTTTATTTCATGTTTGTACGTTGTAAAGAGATACTTTCATGAAAAAATAATCATGTTTCCCAGAAGTGAACTGTTAAATCTATCCTCTCACATATTGTTAATGTCAACCTAGGTAAAACTTTCACAGAAAATAGGGGAAAAAAAAAACAACATCAACATGTGTTTTCAGCAATGATTAAAAAACCTCATCAATTAGGGACGACATGCTTCTTTTTTCATGTGTGGATTTATCAAGCGCGAGTGTCTTTCCGTCAAATTAAAAAGTATTTTCTGGAAATTCTTCTCCAAAATATTTGTTGATTTAACTGTAAACCTAGTCGTGAAAAAGCAGCAGCACATGTGGTGTACATGGTTTAACTGAAATTTATACCCTAGATTTTAGACTATGAACATCATTCAAGTACGAAAAAAAATGTTTGAGGTTATAAAAAAGGTGTGTTTTTGGTTTTCCAATGAAGAACATCTGCGAGATCTTGTAAAATAGGTTTTTGACGGTACTATAAAACCAGAGGTCATTTACTCACAGGATGTAAGAAAGTTATAAGCACATTTGTCTCTACACGATAGAAATAGTTGAACTTTTGTAAAGCAACTTCAAAAATGCTGTAAAAATGCGCCGCCAGTTTATTCATTTATCACGTATTTGTAACTATTTATAACGTTTTAAGTGTTATTACAACAGTGATGTGTTTTTTTTTTAACAGTAACACTAGTGTAAAAGACCATTGGTTTAAAAAAAAGCCAAATATAGATTTAATCACCACGATTATTTCATATTCCCATTTGTACAATGTTGAAAATATACTGTGTTTGGAGGCATCCTTTCAACAGCTGCTCCCTGTATGATTCCAACATTTGGTCTATGTAAAACAGCTCCGGCCTTAAATGCTCCAAGAGACGGTAGGATTTCGAAGGCCTTTAATCTCAATTTTGTCGAGCATCCTAGATACATCGTTTATGTATGATGTAAATGAGTTATTTCTCTTTCTTTCCTTGAAACTTTCATTGTAACATTAGCATTAGTATTAATGGTCGACTGGCTTAAATGTTTCAATTATTTACAAATGGATGCAATTATTTTGTTTACAATTTCGTGCATTTTACTGTATATTTGTGGTAGCTCTTTACTAGTTTTCACATTCAAACCACCTGCCAATATCAATGAATATCCCTTCACAAATTATCTACATAGCGCAAACTCGACAATAATAATTGCACATATGGCCCATGTTTCTGTACATACCAATAATTACAACAACAGATCTATGTTTTAAATTAAATATGATACTACCATCCGTCGACTTCTCATTGACCCCATGTGACCTTTGTACTCACCTGAACCGCCCTTAAGAATCCGATATACAGGTAATTTCCCCTTCAAAAAGAATAGCCAAATATTTCCGCTATAATTACTTTGATCATCTCTGTTTAAGTCCAATGTATATCGCATTCCGTAACAAAACCCCTTGAAAACTTTTATCTAAAAGTGGAACTATCTGCATAAATAAAATAGTCGATTTTAAATGAATTCCAGTAAGTTTTATGAAAAATAAATGGGTTTATTGAAAATTTTACAGTTACAAATAATTTATTCATATAATGTTAAGAACAGTTTTGTATGCAAGAGAATCTAAGAGTATGTAATTTCATTACAACAAGTTAAAGTTTAATTTAATATTGAGAAATAAATAAATAAGTTTACGGAAAAAAATTATTCTTATGTTCTCAAAGTTAATTGGTCGTCTGCTCACCACGAAAGAACGTCAAAATCTGCTTACATCAAAATAAAGCAGTCATATAAAAATTAAACATTTTTATCTCATCGTACATGTTAGAAAATTTTTCATAATAAACTTATTTTTCTATTTTCAGGGATTTAAAAATGGAAAATATTCTCCTAGATGGCAAACATAAAAACCTCAAAGTTATTGGTAAGTACATTATGGTTAAAGGGAAGTAATGCTGATATTGTGTAGTAATGGCACATACATTTATTACCTCCCTTACACCTACTCTTGGATAAGTTGAAATCGGAAGTGTTTATATTATGCTACCAGGCAAGCCTGTGTACGCGTGCAGGCGGATCACGCTCTACTGTTTGTGACTAAACTCCATTGTTTTTAAATATTAAAACTGTGTTATAATCCAAAGCAGGGTATATGCATTATATGAATTCAGCTAGTTATTGGTAAAGATCTGATGGCTGTGCTTGAAATGAATCTTATAAATTACACAGCCTTTCCTTCCAACTACTTCTTTTTATTAATTCGAACATTCAGTATATCATTTGTTTCACCTTTTCTTTCTGTATATTTACAGATTTTGGCCTTAGTAACACATTTAGTCGAAATGAGCTGATGAAAACACACTGTGGCTCCCTGGAATACGCAGCTCCAGAACTTATAGCTAATAATGATAATAAATACGGTCCAGAAGTGGACATTTGGAGTCTGTAAGTATATTTGGAAAGTGACAATCGCAACTTTTCGGCCCTTTCCGTCAGCCTTCGGAATAACAGCCGAAGATGTCTAATAGTCAAAGTGATTGCAGTTGCTCGACGATGAAGATAGACGGAAAGGGCCGAAAAGTTGCGATTGGCAAAAGTTTGTAATATATTGTTTTAGTATCATTTTTCTGCTGATGACAAAAACACATTATACACGTTAATATAGAATATTACAGTATAAATAAGAGTGATTATTGTTCAATCTAAAATGTTCCACCAAAGCTGCTACAAGTACAAGCAAGCTAGTGGCAACTGGACCAGGTGACACTGTTCGTTATTAAGTCTGAACAAATTTTGAAATTTCCCCGTAAAGTGATGAATGGTCTTGACCACATTAAAAGATGGACGAGTCCATTGACGATATTCTGAGTGACTTATTTTCTTCATAATCATTGTCCAGACGTTTTATTTCCGTCATTTAACAATACGGTATCACTGTAACAATTACATCAACATTATTTATATATTTCAGTGGTTTAATATTATATGGTATGGTTCTGGGTAAACTGCCGTTTTCTACTCATTACACCGACCAGTACCGTCGTCAAAAACTTCTTGTACAGATTCTTAAAGGACTTTCAGATAATCATTTTAAAGAGCTCACTCTTCATGGGATATCAGAAGGTATGAATTAATAAAAAGACATTCTTGGTCACGTGATTAATAGTTACTCATAATCAGCTAGAAAACAAAGCTTGTTCTTGTTCGATTTTCTGTTGTTTATTTTTATTATTATTTTAAGTAACGCTGGTCCTACAGTGTCATTTATAGAACAGATGTGAGATGAAATCCACTGCTTATTGATCTATTTGATTTAGTTTGTTTAAAGGCCCATTATGCCTCAGAAATGTTTTTATTTGTATTTCTACAGAACTTCTTTTTTTTGGAGCACTTTGGTAGTTACTCATTTTTCAAATATCTTAACTGTCTTTTCATTTGTTGCATTTTGGCAGTTGGTACAGTTATAGTGATTTAGTATTTGTATAGAAGTCAAAATACTACTTTGTTTACATTTTGCTACATTTATGACAATTTTTTTCACATTTATCGCTACTTTTTTCACGTTTCAAGCATCTAAGCTTTTATACCATTATTTAAATTTTACAAAATTCACTTTTGCTTTTTCTAAAGAAGTTAAAAAATTATTCGTATAAAGTGAGGCATACTGTACCTTTAAGCAGTGGCGATTACTTCGGTTGAACAATCTAAATACCATATACTAGCTTCAAAACGTTCTGCTGTTAAAAGGCAACATTGAACTGTACGTTATTGTTGTTTTAAGCGTGTTGCATATTGTTCATTCATTTTTTTATGATATGATATCTTACAGAACTTATTGACCTGCTGAACAAGTTAATCGAACCTTCCGTCGAGTTACGTCTTCCACTAGCAGATTGTGAGATACATTCATGGTTTACAAACAACAATAAGCTTCCCTTCACACCATTTATAGCTCTACCCAGAGATAAGACATCAAAGTTGCAGGTAATTTAATATTTATCATATACTAACAAATAAAATACACATGTATTGAGAAATATTGATGAAATAAAATGCATACATTTGTTTTTTCATTTTTGTATTTTCACTGTACAAATTTGTTATTCACGGCAGTGAAACTTATTTTCCGTATTTTAACTGGTGTCTTGCCGGACTACTTTTTTAATGCAGCCAATACACAAAGTTAAAAGGAGAAGTGTTACGAACTGTAATTTGAAAAAAAGACACAAAAGTATACATCACCAGATATTCAGTTTTTTCTTTAAAAGATGAACCTTCTTTCATCTTGTGATATGAAAATTACATTGTATCATATTAACCTCGTGGCAACCGCCACTCGTTAAATAGTCATTCTTATACCACTCGATGAAAATTTTTAATCCTTTATTTATAGAAAAAAACTTGAATATCTTGTATATATTTGATAAGACTGGTAATCAATTTTTTATTAAATTTATGTAAATTGAAAAGATATGGAAACCATTTCACAGTCGCCGGATCAAATTTTTAGAATTTTTTGTTTTTGTTTTTGAATTGAAAGTAGCCGACCTACATGTGGTTTACCTGCAGTGTCAACTTTGTTGGACATCCCACTTCAATGACCTTTCTTAAATGTATAAATTTACATACATGTACAGTCGTATATACGACAAATCACTTATGTCACATTTTTCCACTTGTATCTATCATGGGTTTTCATACACGTGTATAACTAACATGTTGTGGCATACATTAGTCTCACGAATTCGTATCTTTTTATTTGTATCTCAACCAAATTTATCGATTTTCATTCCAAAGATAGTGTACATTATACCAAAACATTTCCAGCAATGAGTGCTATATTTGACTGGCGTTTCTTTAATTAAAGTAATTAATTACAAGTATATTATATTGTCTATAAACAGTTATTTGCATTATAACCGTCGCCTGACGGCATGTGTTATAATATACAAACAATATAGGGCCATATAACCTGTTAAAATTCTTTATAACTAATAATATATTTCAAAATCATATGACAATAATTCAAACTACATAGATTGAAAGCAACAATTCATCGTATTTACTGTTCCAAGCAACAACACTTCACAGCCTACAATCTTGTCCGTCCTTAAATGTTAAACGTTTTTTTCTTACAATATTTTGTTCATATATCCTAGAGTTGCCGCAGATGCTCTAGATATAAGATGTATCGTGTCAATTAAATGATGAACTTGTTAACCATCGTTACAAAGGTGAGGATTGTAACACAACTTTGATAAGTAATCCCTGAATTGCTTAAATGCTGCATATCGATATATGGGAATACTCAACCATTCACGAACAATGCTATTGTCTTTGATTTGAATTATTTTAAATGTCTTATTTAGAATGGTAACCAATTCATATTCATTTAAGGAACTTGAATGTGACACAGAAACCGAAGAGGTAAAGGGGAAGAACTTATTTCTACAGTCAATTTCTATTCTCTCCCTTTGCAATCTCTATCCGTCGTCTATCCTTATATTATTTTCTCGTTATTTCTATTATTTCTTCTTCTCCTTCTTCTTCTTCTAAATACTTTATAAATAACAATGTCTTCTCGTTTACTAGCATGTGTTTACAACAATATCTCCATTTGACAATGCCTCGACATTGTTATTATGCATCATTGTACAAAGAAAAACCGTTTTTGCTCAAATACACGACGTTAAATTTTAGGAAATAAATAAATAAATTGCAAATGAAGACAAAGTTAGCAAAGAGTATCAATTTTTAATTTATTTTCCGGTAGGACTTTGAACAACTTTTCAATATACTATCATTTAATCATGACAGTATCTGGGTTTTGTAGAACAGAATGTGCGAGATGCTCGTAAAATATCAGATATGTTATGTGTTCTGTAAATGTTTGGAGCATGCGGTTTCTCCTCTTGGCATTGACCATCTTTTAAATGTTGTAACTACATTTATCAGAAGAATGCTGTTCTGTTCTCTATTTTGCACATATTTCTTTCAAGACACACCACACACACTATAAATATAAAAAGAGAAACAAAACTGTTGTGCAATCTTGATATCAAATGCTGTAAAATCTGTCTCACAGACTGGGCACGTGATTGATACAGTGGCACGTGATTTAATAGTTACAGAACAAATATATCTATAGCTTAAGGCTAGTTGTAAAGATGTTTGTTAGGTTATGTGACCCTATATAAACGGTTGTTTGTATATATAACCAGAACCTCTAGGCGATGGTTATGTTGCAAGCAATCGTTTATATTCGACCATATAACCTGTTGAAAAATCTTGAAACTAATATTATAAACGTCACGATTATCCAATGAAAATTGACGTTACCAAAGTGCAGTATTATAATGTTCTATGTCTAGTAAGAAAGAGAAACCGGTGGCATTGTTTCTTATTTACAATATTCGTCATCATATGTTAATTGTTTAATAAACTGAAAATGAAAAAAAAAGCAAAACATATACATATGTTTCAAAGTAAAAATTAAAATATTAATTCAGCACAAAAAGGAAAAATCTAGATACATTTTTTATAATATGCAGTAAAATTATAAAAATATAATTTTATTTATGGCGAACTATATTTGAATACCGGATGAAAAGCATAAATCATAAAGAATGGACATATCAACAGAAATACACTTCATTTTACCCCAGTAGGTCTTTTACAACATTTGTGATCGGCTCTGCCTAGAATGAAAAAAAATCGTATCAAAACTTTGCTCGGATAATTTTTGAGACAGAGTTTACTCTATTCCTACATCAGTTCTTTCTCCACCTTTTGAACTTGAAGAGCTATTTGATATGATGGTGGACGAAAATTGCATGCTCTTAGCACGAATACTTATTTAATGTGAAAATTACGAGAGCGTGTTCAGAGCTATTTGGTGCATGGCTAAATAGTTTGAGCCTGAATTGATACCTCGAACTTGATGGAATGTTTCATTGTTTTTTTATGAAACTGGGGCTTATCTTACAGCATAATTATCATGTTATTTCTCACATACATACTTTAGTTATCAGTTAAAATAAATAAGTAAATAACCATTATTAATGCCAAACATGTCTCTCGACCGTATTTAAAGGGCAGTTCAACAAGAACTTATATCTCTGTTAGCCTTTGTGGAGTGTGATTAATTAACGCCAACATGTTTTAAATGTGGCCTTGGGTATAGGCGAATGTACGAAAACACGACTACAAAGTCACTGTTTGCTTTATCAAGCACAACGCAATATATTTCGACACTATTTGTTTTTTTGCGTGTTTTTCTTACTATCGCCATTTCACACCGCCACACGAAAAACCGTAACACAAAACCTAAACAACAGTTTTCAAACTCTTAAATAACGGTCCATGCATCGTTAAAAATGAAAAACGGACACAGTTTATTATTACTATAATAATATTATTAATTTGATTATAAAACGCTATATAATATAGTGAATACTGATTATTACAGGTGATAGACGAGTTAGCAGCTCTTCTAGAAACTCCACGTGAACATTTAGAAGATACTGTACAAGAAAACAAGTGTGACGACTATTCCGCCATGTTTAATATGCTGCTAGACACAAAACGCATGGACAAGGGTAAAACAAATGTCACTGAACATAACATATAATCAATGTTTTAATAATATAAAACTTATTTGACAATCAATTTCATATAATATATTCAAATAATTCAATTATAAACAAAATATTTTGGTTTAGAACGGCTGGTAACCGAACAAATGACATACATGTGATCCAAAACTTTGATTGCAGAGATACTGCATTGTTCACCTATCTTTTTATTTTCGTTTAACATTTCAATAAAATAACTGTTCATGCTTTTCGTAAACAAAAAGAAGCGTATTCAAAAACTTACACACGCAAGTCTTCTCCTAAAGGTCAGTTCTTGTTGTTTCCTATAAAGGAAAGTTTATGTAAGCCTTGTCCATACCTTATTCTTAAACAACCTTTTCAGTTCACACGTATTGGTTATAATTTGTTTTACTTTTATCAAATATATTTTTTATTGCATGTCGCTTATGTAAGATAATATGGTATGTAGGAAAATGCCATTCACAAAGTACATTTCACATATATTGCAGGGCTTTTTGACACTGATTTTACACAGAAACAGGAGGTGAAAAGAGAAAAACACAAGAAAAGACACCATCACAGGCATGCATCGAAGAAGGACTCCAAAGGCAAAGGTAAACATCCCTTAACAGTATATAATTATATAATATGCACCAGGTCTAAATATCACAAAGGTATATGGAATACACTTAAATGCAAACATCTTTATAAATTGATGAGCACAGAAAAACAATAACATAATCTTGTTACTGTTGCTTATATTCTAACATTTAGATACAATGCTAAACATTGTCTTATTTTTTTCTTGATATTATGTAAATGAAAATAAATAAATCAATTTAGGTGTATGGAAATGTGTTACATTATTGAATATACTGTGTTTTATGTTTTATTAAGCTGTTATGTTGCCTTCATACTCTTGACACTGCATACGTAGACACACAGAAGTCTGAAATGTTAACTGTTTCATTGTTACTCTCTGACAATTGTTCTGTTTTATTTTTACAGTAGTAGGTATTATTTGGACAACTAAACTTAGATTTGTTTTGTTACATAATTTTTACTTGATATGCACAACTAACTTATATTTATTAGTCTTAGATGGATCAAAACACTTACAGGGATTCTTATGTACTAATCTTGTAACTGCCTTATGTTTAATATAAAACATATTCAAGAAAAGAGAGAGAGAAAACATATCTCTGAAAACGTTATATATTTACAAACATGAATAACCTTTATTGTAAATCATTTTGAATACGGTAATAAGACATGTGCACGTGATTTCGTGAGGAAACTCAATGTGTTATTGCATCAAACGTTATCATACTGTAACGACTTAATTGGCGACGTTATGCAACCGATACAGATCAAGATCAGCTAACACACCCATGCCGTGTAATAACGAAATGCACTGTTTGTTATTCAGTCAACACTAATTTTGAAAATTTACAAACAAATGATAATTGGTTATGTTTAGATTGAAAGATGGGCAAATCTTTTTAAGATATTTAGAGTGTAAAAGGTTACGAGAAAAATGTTTAAATGTTTAACAGGTCTGCACTTATAACACTGTGAAGTAAATAACAAATAAAAGACATATTTATAGATAATTCAGAAATACATGAACATTCGCCATAAGTTAACAATACAGTAGTCGGTCAAATACTGGTATCTTTCTTTTGATAAAGAACTTTTTGCAATCAAGGTTTGCAAGAAACAGTTTCACCTTGAACTTACCCTTGACAATTTAAAATGTTCGAACAGAACCTACCTTAGGATAAACAAGTTTACAAAAGAATGTGTGAAATAATGAAAAACAAGTTATGATTACATGGCCGTTGAAATCGTTTAAAATCTATTGTAGCAGTAAGCCCATCATGGTTCATTTGAGTATTGTTTTAGTTTTATTTGACTGTTTAAATTGCAGCCATAAATGTTAGAAGCGTGATTTCCAATCATATATCAAAAGAGCATTATAACGACCCGTTTATAGAGAGCCCGGAGATTAAACATACTCCGTTTAATGTATGGGAGGAATTGGTTAAAGGTAAACCATTTCAAAGACGTGTGCATGAGAAGTTCCTGTAGTATAGAATGGCTATTGAAACTGCAATGCGATGTTTTAACTCTTTACCACAAAATCAGTCATTTCTATTGTTAAATATTCATTTCATTCTTTCAGGTTGCTTGTGTTGTTTTTTTACTTAGATTACAACTAATTACATTCTAGAATGTAATTTTGGTAGTTGGAAACTGTTAAGTCATCGCTCTTTCACAGTGCTTTGCAAAGGAACAATCACGTTCGGATCTGTTTGTTTTTCAATAGTTTTCAAACATTTTGAATGTACAGTTGCCATTGTTAATGCAGCAATAAGTCATTAATGTTCATAAATAGAACCAACTCACACTTACACTCAATATTGCATACATGTCGTCCGTATATTGAAGTTATCAATAGTGTGTCTCAGTATAATTTGTCACAAAAATTTGAAGTAACATCTATTTCTTTATTCTTTTAGTTCATAAAACATCATAAAGAAAACTTCGTAATATCTACAAAAATTAAATTGATAAATAATTGTCATCAAGTCTTTCTTGTTTTTATATAAAACCGTTTGCTCAGTGAAAATATTAGCAACATTAAAAGCGTTAAATGCCAGTAAAAATGTAGTCATGTCTTTAAAACTCTCTTCAATCCTGGATGATAATAAAGAGTAAAATGTTTTGCTTTGTTTGTGATACACTGTGTGCCAATTACACAAACCCCTTTGATAGATAAAAAGCACTTATGTGATGCACATGCGTTTTTAAACACATTTGTCATGTCATGTCAACTCTTAGTCAGTAGCAGTGGTTGACCACCTTTATCTAGTATCTACACCTGAACAATTGATTGCTAAAAGTAAATCTATTTGTGATATTTTTGAAAGAATAAATGTTCAGATTTTATATTGCGTATCAATAGGTACATATATTTCAACAAAGGCCATCGGACCATGTGACAAATTAAGAATATAATATACATGTATAATATTGCTTTTTTGTTGCTGTATTGATATGAATGAGGATGAGCCTTTTTATTCATATATCAATTACAGCAACACCTTCCATTCTGTGTCCAGAAATTGAGATTCCATCAGACACGGAGGAGCCAAAGGTACCACAGTCACATAACAGTACGAGTTTTGACTTGATGGCTCTCTGCAGTGCACCAACATGGCTCGGTGGTGATCGACGTAAATCAAGACGCAGGCGATCCCCTATGCCTGTTAGCCCATTACCTCCTTCCGTTGTAAGTATAATATAAAAATAAATGTTTTCGCCTCATGAAAATGCATAAATTTTTGAAATGTATAAAAGGTAAAATATTGTCAAGTAAACAAAGAAATATATTCATACATTGCAAACGACACTTAAACTTTACGGAAAATATCACAAAAATAGGCCATAATATGCAAAAATAGCCGTTACTGCGTCTGTCATGCTGTACCAATATGGTAATAAATACTGCAAAATAAGTCATTAAAAACATATAACATGTACATTATTACTTTAAACTTCTTACTTTTCTCAAATTTTTACATTTTTCTCAATGTAGATTTTCTTGAAATATTTTGGCTCATCAGACGGCGTGCGGTTTAAAGCTATGTCCTGTAAAAAGTAATAGTAATAGTAATAACTGGTAGTTAATGATTGTAGTCAATAAGATTTTGCTCTAAAATGTGTGCAACAGTCAATCTACTGAGGCCTGAGCGTAGCGCATTTTAAAATTGATGAACATTTCGAAACATGACAGTCTTCAAATAAACACAGCACAAGCAAACCCATGCCTGCAACATGTTCAATTTTGCATTTTTGTGCGTTCATTAGATATCCGGTTTCTCTCTGTTGTCATGTGAAGATATTTTATCAGAATAAAACATTTTAATATGAAGCATTCTTCCATTTGTCTGCATTCAGAACATTTAATACTTTTAATTCACTGATATCTTACGATTAAATTGACTGCTTGTAGAAGATAACTGACGTTTTTACCCGGCCCTATTGCCTAACCGGTTTCCAGTACTTCTGGAAACATTATCACAAATTGTATAATTGGTTGTCATGCAATGTATGTTTTGAAATATATATACTTTCTCTATATTTGGGTGACACAATATTTTACCAATATATTTGAAAACAAAATGAAGAGTAAATTTATTTCCATAAATTTCATGTAGAATGTTGTTACTTTACATTCCTTACATTGACTCTTTAAAATACAATATATGTAATAGTCAATAACAGTGAATTTCAGTCTGAAAATCACTTTATAACATATGACTCACGTTACATATTGTTTAATAATTGAAATTCTTTAACACGCTTTGATAACAAATAATCAGCTGGAAAATGTTAAAATGCTGATAATTGAAAAAAAAGCAAACTATGTTTTCTCGGATATATGTATCGTAAACAATTTTTATTTAGCGACATTGCAGATTGCTTTTTGGTAAATCTAAAGAGATAGTTATTGTAATAATGAAATATATTTGAAGGATCCGGCGAAGAATGAGCTAGACCCTGGGGCGTTGGCAGCGGTAGGAGGACAAGAACCTCATGGTCTCTTGTCGCCAACCCAAGCTTCTACTCAGGTAGCCCAGCTACTTCGAAGAAACTCATCTCGTCGGAAAAGTAGAAGATCCGTGCATTCGGCAGATCCACCTAGTAGAACAGGAAGTATAAGGCGGTCTAGACGTCATCACAATCCTGATAATTCGGGTTCGAATCCAAACAGTCCTCACAGTCCAAACAATCCAAACAATCCGGAAATAAAAATTGATACGCCAAAACAAAGCCCAGTTTCCGCAGTGAAGCGACCGGCAAATTTGAAAGGTTTAAAAGAGTGTTATTCAAATGATAATCATAAAGGCTTGACAAGAAAATCCACTCTTGGGCCAAACACGTCGTATTCTCGACGATTTAGGCGGACAAGGTTCGGTAGTGATAAAACTGATGGAGGTGACAGTATGCAGTCAGATAGTTCAAATCCTTGCTCAACGACTAATTTGCACGAAGATTATAGTGATGGTTCTCAAGATGAATTTTCGCGTCATGGGTCTAAAACCTCCCTGGGTTCTGTGGATAATCGGGAATCCACGGTAGAATCTAGAATTGCCCATGCAGATATCCGCTCAATTGTTCGACCAAAACAAATAGTACTGAGAAGTAAGGTTAATGGTCAAGTAAAAAGAGATAATCCTTGTAGTTTACATGTTCCAAATGTAGAAGATGCATCTTGCAGGAGTTTGTCAGCTTCTCCTGAGATTATTATTGAATCTATGCAATCAAGCACATTTGCAAACCTCTCTGATGATGAAAAATTAGAACGTCGCATGAGTTGTGAAATTCCTAAAACGGATAGTGAAAAACGGGTTGAACAGGAATTAACCGATTCCTTACATGTTAACCTGCAAACTTCTGATTCAATACATAGTTCAACAGAGTGTTTAGGGGCTGCTAGTTTAAAACCGGAGCATTATAGTGATTATCCAGATGCTGGGTTACATGACGAGACTCAAGAAACGTGTAGGTTAGAATTTTATGCAAATGATCACGAATTGAGCAACCCTGTGAATAGGAATATATTAAATGATACTGTGGATCATTTTGAAACTTTGCATGAACCAAAGCATCTAGTGGCAGACTTGTATTCCAAAAGGGAAAAAATTTCACTAGATGATAAAATATTAATGCAAGACGATATTTGTTATGTTGACAGCAGTGACCATAATTCTTCACAGGAGAATCTTATATTAGATAGGAGACGCAGGAAGGAGAGTTTAGATGACATTGAAAGTATCTCTGCACCTATATTGTTATCTCCTCGGGAATTAGGACTAGGTCTAACACCCAGTGAAAGCCCTGGGGATTCATTAATCGGACCTGGTGCGAGTTCTGTCTTGTCGTCTCGGCATGGCAGCACACCCTCAGTGCGCTTTGTTATGCCTAGCACACCCATTCGCCAAATGTTTCATACTCCAATTGCACGCATTGAAAGTTTTCATAGTGATGATTTTGAAATTTATACCTCAGATATTGATGCTTTAGTGACCTCACCGACAACACCATCGCCCTCATCTATATCTACACAAACTCCAACAGTTCCATGTTTTCAGTATAGAATTCATGGCAGAAAGAAACAATTCATGAGGAAAAGTGCTAAACATCAGCAGAAATCATCAAAGGATAATAAAAAGTTTCAAAAAGATGGAATTATTTCTTTTATTCCAGAAAAGAACGGGAGGTAAGTCATGTTCAGTTTCAATTATCCACGAATAACTAGCTGAAATGTTCAGTTTGATTTAAAGTGAATTGGAACGAAATGGAAAGTCCGTTAAACAATAAATAATTATGTTGATAGTATTTAGTATCATACATGAGAAATAAACCACGAAAGAAGTATATATGGTTGCTGTTGATAAGGTGATATAACATATCCATATATAGTAGAAAACAAATCATTCTAGAGCAAAATATTTTCATCATATAAATGTTCATACTAAATCACTTTGAACTCTATCAAAAAGTTTCATCTTAATATCTATAAGAAAATATAAATGAAACCATTTCCTATTTTTTATCAATATTTGAAATACTTAAGGAAAATGTGTCCATTGCAGACCAATCCATTTTAAATGTTCATTGGTATCAATTGTGATATATCTTTGTTTTCAAGTTACAAAGAAAATTACAATTTCTAATGGTTGGTCAATGCCATAATCATGAGAAAAAATCATTTTCTTATGCCCCCGCCATGCAATGGCCAGGGCACTTTTCCTGAATTTGGAAAAAATTTTGAGTGAAAGTTTCCAGAACTCATAAATTTTCAGAGGAATATTTCATTCAAGACATGTATTTTTTACAATTTCAATTATCTATGTACTGAATAATTTCGTTTGGCTTTGTATGGAAAATGTAATTTTCATTAACATTTGAAATTATAAAGGTTTCATACTTAAATTAAAAAAATAATTGTGAAACAATTTGGCTAATTTATTATAAATTTGAAATTTGCTAATGGGACATGTGCATGAGACCAATCATATTTAAATTTATTGGATCAGTTTGCAATATCTTGTTTAGTTAAAGACAGTTACATTTTAATTTGTGTGTAATTCATGTGCATTTTCTTAGAAGGAAACTATGTTTCAATTCATTTTGTTTATTTATTCTTTAAACTAATTGCATTTTAATTCATCAGTAAATTTATTAATTTCAAGAGATGAAATGATATTTTCCTGTTGATAACATTAATTTGCCATTTCAGGGATGACTTTCGTGGTCGAGAAGCACTAGTAAGTTCTAGTTCTGAATGTGGTAGTGACGGACAAGTGCCTGAAGTAGTGAATGCCAGCAAGGCAAAGATTTTCCCTATGGAAAACAGTAAGTTATTATATTCATGATCAGAATCAGCACGTACATATTTGCCAAAAACCTTTTATGCTTTGTGTGCTTCGTACTAAACTGACAGTTGCTGAACATTCTACAGTTTCAGTTAAACGTAATCATATTGGCAAGTCGTTGTTGATGATAATGGTATTCATCTTGTGTTTCTATAATTTCCTTATTGTGTAGAATCAAACTTGTTTTGGATTTATAATAATCAGGAAACACATTTATAAGAGCGAAAAGTGGCCCTTCTATGAAAGGTGTATTAAAACATTGACATATACGTTAATAAATGCTAGTTTCTGGTACAGTGTAAGCTATGTTTTACCGCAGGTGACGACCAAACAGATGGTAAATCATGCAAACCACAAATGAACGACAAGACAAAACTGATCTCTGAAGTCCAAGTCGATCAAAACAGCACCAAAAAGCACCAGGTATTTTACTTTAATGAAGTTCAGTCACAAAATTAGCCTAACGCCTCATTGTAGAAAAAACTATTTTAATAGAAATTTTCATTTGCTATGTGAATTGTCCTTTTGTGTAGAATTCCACTCACAGTCATAGATTTCTATTTTAAAGTGAACCTTTAGATAGTAAAAATTAATTAGTTTTTCTTCCATTTTGACTGGTCATCAATTTAATTTTAAAATTGAATTGTCTTTTGAAAGTATTATTCTCTATTTTGTACGAAACGATTTATGTCAATGAACAAACGAAAAATGTTAAACTTTGAGAGAACCGTACTATAATTGCTTTTAAATCGTCTGTTGGTGTTGTATAATTAACTACCCGCTACATGTCACCATGATGTGTTTTTGAAGACCTTGCTCTGTATTGTTGCCAGGGTTTTTAATATATCAAATATTGCTACCTTCCCTTTGCATTATTTACAAAATAATGATACAATCGCAGTTAGTATAACAACATTTCTTCCAGTTTAAATGTTTCTTAATGTCTTTTTAAAAGTTGATAATAGAGAAATCGTGCAATTTAATATGCCAAAAGTGACAGTTTATTAATATGATATCTTTGTTTCTATTCTTTTGGTCTTGAAATAATTAAGTTTTTGAAAGAATGATATTTACATAACAAAACGTAAATTATCAAAATCAGATGAATTGAATTTACCTTTTTGACCACAGCTGGAACAAGTATCATCTAGTATATATTTAAATAGATACGTTTTCATATTTTGGACCATCGCGTTTTAAATTTGTTGTGGTATTTTATAGTCAAAATAGCGACAAAAGTACAAATATTATTCATATAAATGTTAATCAGACAACACTTTTGTTTAATCTTTGATCACACAATGTACTTAATCCCTGAAGTTGCAATTTATTTGTTATTTTATTTGTGCACTAGTTACGCAACCACCTTCGAGTTTAATTCATGAATACCTCAAACATACAATACAGGTAAAGTGTAATATTTTAATGGACTGCGTGTATTTAAAATTACAATTGATGTTTATTTTGATAGAAGGGTTGGCTATCTTATTCAAGTGGCGTTTCGAGGAAAAACATGTCACAAATGTTTATACATTCTGTTTGATTACGAACAAAATTTCTGGCTGTAATATTCTTTGAATGACCTATAGAATTACAATTATTCTTTCAAAATGCAACCTGTGCTCATTTGCCAAGAAAACGCTACTTGAATCTGAACGTACTCCTTATTTTTGAAAAACGAAATCGAAATCGATAAGTATTTTTCTTTCAAATGCCCCTGTATAGCATTCAACAGTTTATGATTTGAATCACCTCTCTTTAGTATCTTGTCTTCTCTTTCTTTTTTAAGGATTAAGGAATCCGATTTTTTTGCATTACCGTGTTGTCGATATTTCTCATTCAATCATTTTCAAAAAAAGCAATTTATAGTTAATAATGAAATTTGCTTGTAACAGTCTTAGGATAGCGAATCTGATTTTTATTTAAAAAAAATCAACTCTATAGCTGGAGTTTAAAGATACTGTTTAAAAAATTTAAGCAGGTGGTGGTAAAAGCGCTTATACTTATCAGTATTTTTTACATTATTGTATAATGTTTTTCAAGATATTTTGCATGCACTTCTGTATTAAAGTTTTTTTTGTAATATTTCTTATTAAACTATTATAACAGTTTGTCATTTACTATATAGCATTTTAATTCAGTTTCCGATAGATTGTTTGCGTTATCATAAGAGACCTACACTCCTACACTGTGTTGGTGCGCCGTAATTATAGTCTGTACCAAACGTGCTATGGTTCAAGATAGCATGTAAATGCTTTCCATTTGTTTCTTCACAATATGTTGTTTTTTTCTCAATTTCTACCAATTTATTTCGTTAGAAATTAAAACTTTGAAATGTATTACAATATGCACTTGTTTTTCTCATTACTTTATTATTTATGCACACAATTCACCACGGCTTCGTATGACATATCTGACAGCTTTCATGTGGCTTACATAAAAGCTATAGATATAGTTTTGCTTATGTCATGTTTATTGCTAATGAAATCATTTGCGTATTTTTGATTTTCTTTAATCTTGCATTTGACGTCTTTGATATGTTTATATTAGTTTACACCTCGAATGCTACCATTATTTACAACAACTTTTGTTTCAGAAAGTGCATGCAGAAAGGCTAGCTATACAGGGTGCAAAAGAAAACAAAAGTCCATTAAAACGTTATAAAGACAATGCTTTTATTCACTTTTATGCTTTTTTAAAGGCATGGGTGTTGGGTGTTTTGCATTTCAAGTGTACGGACATGTACTTATATAATATAATCTTTTCGTTTGCTTTCCGCACTATTCATGATTTGTAATAAAACGTTCACAACGTTCATGTGTAATGTAATTAGCACTGTTTGCTATTTCTAAACTTTTAAACATTTAGCTTTGCAAATACCTTACACACGATATATTGGAGTGCATATTTTATCCATTTCAAAGTATTTTTTACACATGTACAAATGTATAATCCTTTATTTATGTATGTATGTATTCGTCATAAGCATTTGGTTTTTACCATGAATTTATCAAATGTTTATTAAGCCATGTGTCTTTTCTTTCTTTCAGAATTCTACATGTAGATCATTTCCATGGAAACAAGCCCAAGATACAGAAACTAAACAGTCAATATGGAGAAGGGGTTTTGTTCATTTGCTGAAGAAAAAGAAGCTCACCAGCTTTGGTTCTGGAAACAATAACAATGACGCCGACAGTCCATCGCGATATCGCGTGGCAAACCATAGCAACAGTAGTACGGCTAATGTTGTCAACACTGTCATCAATACGCGAAATGGTCATGCAAGAGGATCTTACAGGGCTGTTCCGCCAAGTACATTGGATATTCCTGCAACAAGTGTCGAAATCAAATGGTCCCCTGCAAAGGTTGTGCAAAACAACATAAAAGCTGGAGTAGATTCTGGTAATTATGATTAGATTGTTAGAATTTTTATAAATCCTTTATTGTATAAATAAAAGCTTTTTATTATCAATCATCCTGCCATTTAAATATATAATCGTCAAAAAGGTTCATAATATATTTTGGCATATGATATCTATTTTCATCTACATCATTGGTGTTTATCACTTTTTATTACGACGTTGTTTATGTATTCATTTACTTAAGGTTTCAAACAAAACAGACCGCCATTATCTTTCACAGTCGCTTTTTTATTTAGCTGTGTAGAACAACTATCAGGAAATACATGTATTACTGGTGCTATCCATGTGCGAGAAGTAAACATATGCTTGCTTTGTTAAATAGCCTGGTTTAGTTTGCATTTTTGACTCCACTAGCTCTCTAGTGCGTGCCGCATTTGCTTAACTAGATACAAGCTAGGTGTTTGTTCATGTTTAGTTGTAAGTTTCTCAGGCCTTTGTTAGGGTAAAAACTCTACTTACAAGTCATCTATTGGAAGCATCAATCACCGCAGCTTAACGTTTGATATAACGAACAAAATGGCATCTGATTTTGGTCCATGGCATATACATATTTTTAACCTTTCGAGACAATGGACCTTCTCGTGTTTACAGTTAATGCAAAATGCCTGACTGGGTAACCAATTGCTACTATTGGATAATACATTGATTCTGGTTTACCTGGTTTATACAAAACAACACGTGTTTTTGATTATGATACTATTTGTGAGCAATTTGCATAAGAAAATAAAAAACGCTGGGAAGGTCCATTGAGGTTCAAAGAAGTCATGGATCTTTCCTAAAAACAGTAAAAGTTATTTAGGTGATGATGATAAAACGTGTATGATAAAAATGATTGAATAAATTATTTAACCATAACCTGTTGATGCAGCCTTCTTTGAATTAGGAAAAGTCCGTTTGAACATTTAGTAGTGATTTCAGTATCAAAATACAAAAATAATGAGCGAACAACAGTACAGTACCTGTTCAGACTGCATGGATGATCAGGCGTGCCTACCTCTATAAAGGCTAATCGCATTCTGTTCTAGCAGGTTAAAGAATTAAATAATGATGTGATGTATTTCTTTCCAAACTTTTATTTAAAACCACTAAGGACGTAAATGGCATAAATGTCTCATCCGAGGGCCTGAGAAACTTCATTAAGTAGCTTTATACTCATCCCTCACCATACTGTTGTAGGCACTGGTGATATTGGTAGAACCCAAACACCAAGCCCAAGCCCATCTAAACCAAAAGTGTTCGATTTCACGATAGTTACATCTGAGCCTTCCAAGCACAAACATTGTCTTCTCAGTTGGAAAGCGTGCCGAGAGTGTACTTTTAGTGAAGACTCCTCAACTAGCGAGGTACATCTAGATATCCTGTTCTGACAATTTTCTTATTGTTCTGTTTTATATTCGTTAAAGATTACTTTCTTTTTACGGAGTCTTGAATGATGAACGGTTATCTGTTTCCTGTATATGCATCCCTATCATTGTTAAAACTTATTACTTTAAAGTAGTTCTTATTTGTTTATATTTGATTTCCATATGATATCAGTTCCAGACAATGGTTTTTAATTTTTCATTGCTGTCTCATGAAAAGCTAACAGCCTTATTTATTGTTGTTATATTTAGTTGCAGTAGACGTTCGATCACGTGTTTTACACAATGTATAAATATATCATGCTTCTAATCACCTTTTGCATTGGCAATTAATTGTATTACACAAACGTATGTCACTTTGCATATTTCAGATGATAAATATATCGAAAACCTTTGCATATATTTTTATTGATGCTTATTTAATATCAGTTTTTCTGTGTAGAGTTAGTTATTCCTTAGTATCACAAATGATGAAAACACCAACAGGGATACTTTCTAATAAATTTACCCGTGCATCTTTCTCTTACTATCTATATTAAGTTAATCAGCATTATCGATCTATTTCTAAAGTACCCAACTTGTCCGTTTAAGTCACTTTCCTTTGTCGAATTAAAAACCATTATTGATTAATTATTAATCTCTTTTGTTTTCTTTGAGCAAATTGTTTCATTGGGTCTTATTTCTTATAATGAAATACAAGTACAAAAAAAAACATATTATGCATCTTCGCATATTATTGCATACTTTTGATATTACATGTATATTGGTATATATCAATGCCAGACTTTCTGACCGTGATATCACGTGTAAATAACTTTTTATGAATTTATGCATTAGTTTGGAATTGATATTTATTTTTATTATTCTTGTAACTGTTTTTTTTCTCTTGCTCTTTTAATTGTATATATTTCGGTGCCAACAAAGATTTAAGTTTTTTAACAGCATTATTCTTTTTTAATAATTTCAGGTAAGTGAAGACAATGATGGTAGATGTAGTCGTGATAGTCAGATACCGGAATCTACAAACAGTAACACCATTGCTATGACAACCATAAGGGCGGCCCCTGTATCACCTTGCAATGTCTCCCTGTCATGACAACTACACACGACCGTTTATAACGTGCTCCACATACATATACATGCATCCAGAATTATATTTTGGGCAAAATCATTTGTTCTCATTATATTGTTGCAGAACAAAGTATCTGACAATAATGGAGAAAACAAATTTTGACAACATTCTTCCAAATGGGATAGGAAGAAGGAAACTCTAACAGCTTTATAAATGAGGCTACAACGATAGAATATGATTGATAAAATTGAAAAGTATTGCAGAACGTTTTACAAGTTCATTTGCCCTCTTAAAAAAGAAAATTATGAGTGTTTTGTATATGTAGTAGACGATGTCAAAATTGACGGTTATGGTTTAAGAGATAAGAAGCACATTTGACAGTCACGTCATTTTTCGCGCAATAAACTTTGCGTTTTCACCACATTTGTACCAACATCTAACATAGATATGAGAAAAAAATAAACATACGCAGAAATTTAGAACATGATGTTATCTTCAATATTGAAGATCTTTTGTATTATGATGGAATAAAGGCGGATTCTTGTGACTGTCAAAGTGCAATCGTCGACGATATTGTTATTGTAATTGGGATATTTTTCAATGCCAAAGTCTTTCAGGTGGTTGTTTTGTTTTGGTCTACATGCTTTTTGAAGTAGGACCCTTTTCATAACTGAATTGGATAGGACATTTTGGTACATTATATAATCACCAAATTCTGTTAATATGTTTCGTTGAATTTATATTAATGCAATATAGTAGGCTGTCAACGAGAAGCGCCCATCATTGTTTGTTTGGGGTTTTGTCTTGCCGAATCATTCCTGTTTACGTTATAAAGACATAACTGTAAATTTTAGCTTCTTAATTTTTAAAGATAAAATGATTGTTACAAAGCAGTTCATTTAATGATGTCCTGAAGGAATTTTTAACAGCAATGTAGTGTGTTTCCTTCGACGAAATTAGTTTTGGTTGTCATTTCGTACGTTTTGAACATGGAGGTCTTTCTAAGGAAGTTAATTAATGTAATAACGACATAGTAGTAATAATAATACATGATAACTAGTTCAAGAACAGTTAATGTCAGAAAAAATATTTCAATTAATTTATTTCATACAAAGTTCACACTTTTTTCTTAGGATGGGACATCACACATAGTTATAGTATCATGCTGTATACCTTTACAGTTGTAGGGCAAAAGTGTTTAAATATGTTTTTGTAATCTGTTTTGTGTAACATCAGAACGTGTTTTAGGATAAACTGCTTTTTACACGAAAAAAACGAAAATTCTGTTTTTACAATATTTGTAAATGCAAGCAAACACGCGTTTGCCAAATTTGTTGATTTGTTGATTGAAATGTTATTAGTACTTTTGTGTGTATTTTAATACGAATATTTCGTGCAATTTTCTGTATAGGTTATAGCTCATATTGTTACAATTCAGCTTTCAATGCAAGTTTGTGATATCTATGAAATGTTTTCACTGGTCATCCCGAAAGGGTAGAATCAAATGTTAACTGTTAGGTTATGAGTGTATTTGATTTGTATTATTTGACCAACAGTTGTTTCTTTTAAATTGTACGTTGAATGTTGATATATTAAATGATACTCCTTGTTTTTGGTATAATTGTTTGAAATTCACTATAGTTTAAACCTCATATTATTTAAATTGTTTGTTAAATATATATATATAAGTGTTAATAATTTCTACACTGTGGCAGGATTACAATTGATATAATCAGGTCATTGTATGCAATTGTGCATTCATGTTAAAATTTTGCCCTTACCTTCTAAGAGCTATCCCAGTAGCCTTTGCAAGCAGCTGGGTACCAGGCCAGACCAAATGCTGATTTTTAGGTATCAAACTGTTTGACAGCCGCCCTTTATGTATTCATATATGTATTTAACCGAGAAAGATGGCATGTTTAAGTTCTTTCTTACAGCTCTTTATAGATTTTGGTCAATAAGGAAGTTAATTATTAATTCAAAATGTTCAAAAGTTTTATTTGCCTGAATTGGGTTACATTGTGATAATGAGATTTTCTAATTCAAATTATTCTCATTGTAAAATTTAGTCAAATGTACGATATTGTATATATTGAAAACCCAATACACTTAACAAAACTTATAACTGTGCAGTTTTTAAATGTGAATAACTTTTTTATTACTTGACATTTTTTACCCAAATTTTGGAATTCATCGTTTGAATGGTTTATTTTTACAATGCTATATTCAGAAATAACGGTTATTTTTGTTGTGTGCGTTCATCCGTGACATGACATAAACAACAAAGTGCACGTGAGGGTGACAGGTTGGCGCTAAATGAAGTTATTATTGACCATCAAGGATTCTATTAAAATAAAGACATCCAAAAAACATAAATTTATTGCAGAATTTTTGCAATTGAAAGAAAAATGGCCGTCTAGAAGTTTTACGCAAGGGAATTTGCATTTCAGGCGCCCATTTTGAAAATAAATTTGCATAATATTTTCTCAAATAAACATATTGAATAAGATTTTTACTTTAAAACTAAAAACAAACTTTCTTGGTACTTTCATATTAATGAAAATATCGTGTTTGCATTGTTTTTAGCAACTGGGTACAACGCGTTACGGAGATCGACATAAACCAGTCTTTACTGAAATTCAATAAAGCAAATATTAAAATCACAGTGACATAATGCCCTGGAATTCATTGTAGTATTATACCCTATCGGTGATCCTATGTTTTATGTTTGTATTTTAGTGAAATCAAGAGATTTAGACCTTTTTGCACCCAATATAAATACATATTTTACAGAAATGTGAAATTCGGTTTTCGCGCAATATTGCACACATCGCTATTTCTCAGTTAGTACGAATCGCCCTGACATAAAAATCGATACCCATCATTGCACATATCTATACTATACTTGGTTAAAATTTCAGAGACCTATGTTTATTAGTATCTGAGAAAATTTGATTTTTATACGTGCACACTTATAAGATTTGTTAAGTGTACAAGTGAATTATTGTATAAAACTCTATAGTACTCAAAGTACTTAAAGTTATAATTGCAGCTTTCAATATGATCTGCATGTGTTCAGTTTGATTTTTTCGACTTAATGAAAACAGGGCTTCGAAGTATACAAGACATGCAACATGTATGTCACTTGGAAAGAACGAGCATTTATCCTCAAATATTTGACAATAAGTAAACAAGTAGAAGTAGTATCACTTGACAGGTCTGCAAGTTGCAGAATGTTTTTATAGTTTATACAAATGCATGATTATTCTTATCTTCAGTTAGATTCTTTGTTAAGTATAAGTCCAAAATGAAAGTATATATGATTTATGTATTTTTTGAAAATGAATATTTCTTCATTCTGTAAGTGATTTGTATATCTAATCAAATTCGAAAGAAAACAAGTTCGTTGCATTTTGTGTGCCTGTTTTCCAGTGAAAGTATATTTTTCCTTCGCTGTACATATTTATCTCACGTTCACATCAGATTTCACCTTTATTCTACAGAACATGTCACGTTTTTCAAACTCAGTTATTTGTTAACCACTTCTAACCTTGCTAAAGTTATATAATAGATTTGACCAGCTTTGACTTCGGAAAAGTTCTCCATTCAACATTTAAGGGATTGAAATATCAAAATACAAACATTGAGCAACAAACAGTACAGAACCTGTTCAAACTGCACTAATGTGCCGGCTTGCTTTGCTCTATACTGGTGACAAATATCTAGACAAAATGTGATCCCTCGGAAGCATTAATCACAACAAAATTACATTAGCATGGCAGACGCTGTTCATTCGAGTCTGTACATGAGGGATAATCAAAAAGTGCAACAACCCTCACGCTCCCTAGCACTTAAGAAAAAGCCAATTTTAGACAAAACATTAAAACCTTTATTCACAAATTGTGTATTGTCTTACTTTAAAGCGAAAATTAGTTTAACTGATACCAATATGAAAGTTAAAATTTACTGTCAGCAGTTTAATGTCTATGTAAATAAATTTTGTAAACAGACCTAGCTTTATACTGATGGCACATGCAAACCATTGGCACCCCTAGCAGTTAGATATTGGTTAATTGGTTTATTTAATACTAGAATACATAAGCTTCCGAAAGATAGTTACTTAAAATGCCAGTACATGTACCGCCGAAAACCTTTGATACAATATGTACTAAATGTAATCATGTAGAAGAAGAATACCATTATGCTTCACACTGAAGCCCTTGTTTCTGTTCTGAGCATAGCATGTCATCACATTATTCTCATCTTGTAGCGTATAGCATATTATTAAAACACATATAAGTATTATTATCATTTGTTTGGAGTAAATATCTTCTAATGTGTACAGTGAACAGTTTTTAGTAAAAAATAAATTACATTGGGTGTGTTTGACATTGTTTGGGAAAAAAAAGAAAAAGGCGCCCAAGTAAACTTTACGGTTTTGTAAAAGGTTTTCTTATTTCACTTTTTAAAGAAAATATTTATTAAAAACTCAATTGTAATCGTGCTGATGTTTCGTTCTTGCGTAAAAAAGATGTGCAATATTTTGATAAGCATTTGTCGAACGTTTTCATGTGTAAGCTGGTTAAGGATAAAGGTCACGTTTTCTTTTACTTGGAATTATAATTTGATAAATGTATATCATTTAAAACTTCATAAAATGATAAAAACGGATTAGGCCAACCTTGTAAATGTTGGCAACGAATTACAATTAAATACTCACTTATATTAAATTTATTCCAAATTGGTCAGTTAATAAAGTAATCCCCAACTGCTGGTTATTACTGTCCCGTTTTCAAGATAGAATAATAATAGAGTATAAACTTTTTTCTTTAACTTTACATGTCTAGACATGATTTTCATAATTATGTGTGTTAAAAATGAGATTGTCTGTTTTATTTCAATTCATATATATATATAGAGAGAGTTATAAAAATGTTACGTTTTCATAAAAAACACACACCTGTACATTTGTTTCTTATATCTTTGTCAATTGTGAACAGCATAATTTCATATTTTACATAAATATTTGTTATTTCTTATTGATATCTTTTGATTAAAACGACTTGCTGTATGTGTATTTCTCTCTATTTTTCTCACTCAATTGAATGCAAACTCGATTACAGATGTTCGAATTCTATATTATGGGAGTTATCTATGTATATTGACGATATTTACAACAATTAAAATCATGTCACCTCAAATAAAAAATGGTTGTCTTCTTTGTTTGTGTCTGAATTCGAAGTGCAACAAACTTGGTTTGGTTTTTAAGAGAAAACACAAGATTCATCTTTATTGTATAAAAGCTCCTCCAGGAGTTATTTCAATCAATTCAATAACCCTCTGGAGAAACATATCATAATAGGTAAAATGATAAATAAGACCATTTCCTAACTTTATATTTGAAATAACCCTGTTCTCAAAACATAAGCCGAACAAATAGAACCTTCATCAAATTTATTATACGAGGATTATGTCACTTAAACATTTGCGAATATGTATCCGTTTGGTATTTTAAATTGCTTCATTGCACTTTAATGAAGCGTTCAAAAGCTAAATATAACGGTTTGTTTCATTCATTTGCGTGTAAAAAAAACACGAGATATTTAAATTCGAAACACATGCAGTCACATACACTTACGGAACATATTGTACAATTTACTATAAAACTGAAAATCGGAGCTACATTAAATGTCGCATTGGTTTTGATATAGCTGCAGCGCATAATAATGAATTGTGTGGTATATATGAACCTCAGGTCATTTCAAAGCGCACAATCTTTAGGTGGGAAAAGCTTTTAAAGATAAGAAATTGTCTGTGAAATAAAATGACTACAACCTCAGTTACCGAGGGAAACATTTCTGCTGTAAAGGTCATAGGAGAGCATGATGTAAGATTGTCAGCAAAGGATATAGGTAGTTGTATTTACCTGTTTACATTTTTAGAAGTGGTATTCATTTAATCATTACCAAACGTTTGGGTCTAAATAAGGTTTGCGTTAGGTGAGTACCTTATTTGCGCACTAAGAAGCAAACGAAAGATCGCTTTAAGTATGCAAAATGACTTCTTAAAACATCCAAAGACTGTGACGTCAAAGAGTCAAAGTAGGGTCGGTAACATAGTGGTTGCGAAAAGATCAAAAGCGGTCCTGTATTGACAGAAGGACCATCAGTACATAGAAAATGTTGTCTGCAATTTTCTTTAACTCATGTGGACCAGTCGTTTTAGTACCCTGTCTATCTGATATGTACTGGAAAAGTGAAGACGTTTTACAATAAGAAGCGTCAAAGCAAATGTTACATGACAATGCCTCCTCTTACACAAGCCATATTGTTAAATCTTTCTTGGCGTCTGAAAATGTTAAATGTAAACCATCGGCCTTGTTCCCCTGACTTAAGTTGCTGCAACTTCTTCTGTTTTCCAGACTTACGAAAATGCTTTCTAGTAAAACATAAACGTTCAGGGGTTCTCTTGGTAGCGTAATTTATCAGTGTCTACGATGCTATTCCAAAGAAGAATATTTTCTGTATTTTGGTAGAGGGGGAATACTTCGAATGTTTGAAATAGAACACATTTTATAAGACTTAGAAGTTACATAATTTAAACCAAGTACAAAAACTTATTGAATGGTCCTCATAATATTAACGTTTCTAAAGAAAGTGAATTTAAAGAATTAACAAAAAATAAAAGGAATATTCCGACGGAAACACAACATTTTAAATCAATTTGTTCTCAACCTAATTTTGCAGCATCTTAAGCTATATAAGAATACTGGAACAACAATAAAACAACGTTGTTTGCTTCGATTGGCAATCAATCAAATACGTATATTGAAATATACATATTGAAAATATATATTAGCTGAACCTGTCGTCTGCTGGAATTATTTTCATTTGATTTGTTTATACAATCGAGGCTTCCATTAGTGTACAAATGTACTAGATATATTTGAAACCTTCATCCCAAATGGCAGAACCTGAAGTTGTTTCAAACTTGGTTCAATCGACCGAAATGGTTGAATACTTAGCAAAATGCCTACCGATTCATGAATATTGAAAACGCACCCCGGTATTTTCTCCATATAAGTGTGTCTGTATGTTATTTT